CCCAAGACCCCCACCTACACCGCCTCCTGCCCCGAAGCCCCCACCATGACCCGACCCCCCACCAACACCACCTCCACCACCTCCTCCTCCTCCGCCTCCTCCCCCACCAGCACCGCCTCCAAGACCACCTCCTACACCGCCTCCAGCTCCAAAGCCTCCACCATGACCCGACCCACCACCAACACCACCTCCACCTCCCCCACCAAAACCACCTCCCCCACCAACACCTCCTCCAGCACCACCACCTAAACCTCCACCACCTCCTCGTCCCCCTCCACGTCCACCACCAAAACGACCACCACAGCCTCTTCGACCAAACCTGCAGTTATCGTCGCCAAACCTAGTTTTGTCCAGTTTGTCATCACCCAGAGTGACAGCACTCAAATGAAGAACGATGCACAAGGAAAGTAGAAGAAAAGAAAGCCATTTTGAAGATACAGCCGCCATGAATGCAACTTTCTGTTTATGCAAAGTTAAATAGCTAGCTAGTAACAAGCTTTCTCTGCAATGTTTTGCTTGCTCTGTTAGCACGAAAAAACTCCCTTATATAGGTTTTATCCAGTGGCCAATTTGGCAAGTCAACCGAAAGAGGTATTAATTGGTGGGTTTCATGTCACGCGTCGGTACCGTTGGGGAGTGGCGGGAAACATTTAACGCTCAAATGAAGGTGAACCATGGCTTCATCTTCATGTAAATAATTGGGAGCGAATGATCACTTATTCTCCACTTAGTCCCTTCATTGTTTGATAAATAATAAGTTTGTCCTTCTTTTTACAAAAACAAAATCCATATTTTTCGTATGAAAAAGAAAAAAATGATAATTAGTCTTGTGGTGGTTCTAAGTTATCATTATGATTGACAAGTCTCTGCTCCCAAAAGTTATCTTTGGTTAGATTTATAAAACGTATTAAGAACATATTTAGTTGCAGTGACGCAAAAATATTTATAATATAAATATGTTATGGGATAGTTTTAAAGGAAATTTATATATTTTTAAAATATAAAATATATAGAGATTTATTCTCAGTATCTTAGTTTCTTGTGGTTTAATTTCATTTAACAAATTTAATTTAGCTCTCATCTCATCTTTTTATGTTATTAGATAATCGGTCTCATTAATATTAGAAATTTTAATTTTTATATCTATTTTTATTTTTTATTATTTATTTCTAATAAAAAAAAAAGAAGCATACTGGAATCTAGTATAGAAAGGGTCATTATTGATAATAATTCTGACTATAAAAATAATCAATATCAAAGTCAATGAGTTTCATTTTATTAGAGAAATTTTACTAATATGTTTTTTTTCTTGTTTAAAAAGATAGATCTAATGATAAAAATATTTCTGATACTTTTTGGATTAATTTTTGTTGTTTTATAGATTTTTTAAGTTATTAATAGATTTAACAAGATGTGATGTTTTAGATCAAAATATATTGTAAAAAAAGTTTTTTAAATAAACCCAAAAACCTTAAAGGCTTTTTTTATTGTTTGACAAGTAGATATTGTTAAATTTTATAAAACGCAGATGATACATTGTTTATTTTTTTTTTAAATGTTAAAGTATGTTATGCGATCATGGGCACTTTTTAGTATCTTTTATTTTTTATTTTGCTATTTTATATTTGGATAAAAATTAGACAAAATATAAGTAAAGTTAAATACGTGAGAGACAAATCCCTACTTCAAGTTAATAATCTTCTGTGTTTTTTTCATTAATCAATACAAATTAAACTTAAATCGCAAAAAACCTGTGCGGCCACTACCCCTTCACATTTTAATTTGATGCTATTAGTTTTTGCATTTTATAAAAAAAATTTAAAAAAATTAATTTTTTTATTTTAAATTAATATTTTTTTAGTATTTTTAGATTATTTTGATGTCCTAATATAAAATATTAATTTTTTAAAAATAAAAAAATATTATTTTAATATATTTCTGAGTGAAAAACAATTCGAAAAATAACCATAACCACAATTCCAAATAAACAATAAATAAATTTAATTTTATTAAGATCTTTTCCCATCCTGATATACAAGTCTATATTGTTTTTTTTGTTAATTATACATGTTCAAACCGGTTTATATTTATCTCAACTAATTGTGTGAGATTTTAAAGTTATCAATCATGTAATCTTTCAGTATTTTAATATTTATAATATTTAAACTAATTTTTAAAAAATAAATATAAAATCTAATCAATTAAACTATACACTCATAATTATTCTCCACTGTTTTTCAAGTCGACATGAGCTGGTTATGCACCCTCTTCCTCTTTAACAATTTCTCAGTCTAAGTTTTCATTTTTGGACCACAGCAGATTAAACAGCACACTCACCCGAACCATCTATATATTGCAAATTGCAATGGTGTTCTTGGTTGACTTTGATGTGCTCAATAAATGTTTCCCAGCACTCTCCCAACGCGTAACATAATTTTGCACCAATCTATACTTAGAGCTCTTTTTGTTGACTTAGCCAGTGGATAGACCCTAAATAAGTGAGTTTTCGTGATGCAAAGAAGAGAAAGCGAACATTACAGAGATCTTTTCTTAATCTGTAATAGAAAGTTGCAATGGCAAAATGGGTTTCTTTTCTACTGATTTTATTGTGCATTGTATTAAAGGCTATGCTTCTTGTTCTTGGTGATGAAAAACTAGACAAAATTAGTCTTCTGATGATTGCTGTGGGTTTGGTCGAAGAGGCTATGGTGGCTGGTTTGGTCGTGGATGTTGTGAAGGACTAGGAAGTGAGGGTGGTAGAGATGGGCTCACTAGTGGTGGAGGTGGAGGTGGAGGTGGTTTGGGATGGGCATCACTATTACGACCTTAATTGATTTATCAGTTCTATTTTATGGATCAAATTGGAATTTAAATATGTTAAAATAACTATAAAAGTATCTTGTACCATATACAGTCATAAAACTCTATCTTGAATTCGACTCGAGGCAAGGTCCATATAAGAAGATTTGATTTTTAAATTCTTAAAATAATACTGTTTTGGTAAAAAAAAAAAACCTAAAAGTTTTATTGGCCAATCATGTTTTTTTCTCTTTTTTTTACTTGAATTAATTCAAATAATAAATTGACAAGGTCCTGGATTAATTTATGGGCAATCTAGATTTTGTAACTATAGTTTAGATAACAAATAATAAATTCAATTATGTTTATTTTTTAAAAATGCTTTATGAGGATCATAGACAGCAATTTCTCCAGAAACTTGTGTAGCAAGAAACACAATCTTCCAGACTACAGGAATATAGCTGCGTCCAAAAGCAGTGGTTTGTCACGTCGTACGTAACAGCATTGCTTCACTCATAGGTTTTGTCACTAAACACAAACTTGTTTCTTTTTATGTTTTGGTTTCCTAACGTAATTCATTTATAGGTTTTGCTCTGAGAATAAAACATATATAGCACCAAACTGCTCACTACTTGAGGAGATAATTTGACGACAAGTTCGTGGTTTGAAGAGAATTTGAGTTCTGTGGGCGGGGATTCGTTCCTTTTGTACCTAGTTCCCCCACAGGAGCAGCTGATGAGAGTTCTTCGGCGTGAAGGCCAAGCGCACAGTTTTTTCATATTTTATTTATGATCAATTTTGTTATCATAGTTATATTGTTTTGTAATACAATGAGGTGGTAGAAGGCAGTTGCTACTGTAATTTGTATAAAGTTTCGATGAAATTGCTGTCTTTCCTTGTGTATTATTATAGCATAGAATTTGAAAATACAGAGAAGTTACGATAGTGCCATGCTACAAATGCTGAAAAACCAGGCTTCTTCTACGTTCCCTGCAAGAGTAAAATGGTTTCAGTTAGGTTAATCCATGCCTGGAGAGTCTGTGGACATTGAAGAACTTAATTGCTATTATCTAGGTACTTAGATTTTGAAAACTGGTGTTTAGATAATGATTAAAAAGATTGCTTAATTAGAATACATCTCATTTCTTATTAATTTCTCAGTTACATTACATAAACCTCAATCTTAATCTTAATCTTAATCTGGAAACACATAACAGAAGGTGCTTAATTAGACATCACTGAAGGTGCTTAACTTTCGCTTAAATTGCAAGAGATTGTTTTCAATGTAAAGTATGTTTAATGTCTGCCATCGTTCCCACGGCCAGAACCACTACCAGATCCCTGGCCAGCACCTGCACCAACTCCAACTCCTACACCAACGCCTATTCCAACTCCAAACCCACCACCTGCTCCGCCACCCCTGCCACCACCTAAACCACCACCAGGACCACCTCCTACACCTCCACCTGCACCAAAGCCACCTCCATGGCCTCCTCCCCCTCCACCGCCTCCTGTCCAGTTTGTCATCACCCAGAGTGACAGCACTCAAATGAAGAACGATGCACAAGGAAAGTAGAAGAAAAGAAAGCCATTTTGAAGACACAGCCGCCATGAATGCAACTTTCTGTTTATGCAAAGTTAAATAGCTAGCTAGTAACAAGCTTTCTCTGCAATGTTTTGCTTGCTCTGTTAGCACGAAAAAACTCCCTTATATAGGTTTTATCCAGTGGCCAATTTGGCAAGTCAACCGAAAGAGGTATTAATTGGTGGGTTTCATGTCACGCGTCGGTACCGTTGGGGAGTGGCGGGAAACATTTAATGCTCAAATGAAGGTCAACCATGGCTTCATCTTCATATATATAATTGGGGAGCAAATGATCACTTATTCTCCACTTAGTCCCTTCATTGTTTGATAAATAATTGACTTTGATTTGCTCAATAAATGTTTCCCGGCACTCTCCCAATGGTACCAACGAGTACCATAAATTTGCATCAATCAATACTTAAAGCTCCTATTGTTGACTTAGTCTGTGGATAAACCCAGAATAAGGGAGTTTTCCTTGTGCAATGAAGAGAAAGCGAACATTGTAGAGATATTTTCTTAATACTTTAAAATTGTTTTGATGTGATGAAGAAAAATAGAAAAAATTATTTAAATATTTTTAAGTAAAAAACACTAAAAAAAAAAAGTTACTGCATTCATTCTTAAACGATTATTTAATCTGTAACAGAATGTAGCAATGGCCAAATGGGTTTCTTTTATGTTGATTTTATTGTTCTTCAGTTGACTGCAATAGTTCTTGTCAATGACAAACTAGATCTTCGAGATGATAGTTGTGGGTTTGGACGAAGAGCTGTAGTGCCTGGTTTGGTTGTGGAAGAGGTGGAGGACTAAAACATTCCAAGTAAATTTTAGGTTACAACTCAAATGGGAAAACTAGCTAGAGAAAAAAAAAGTTAAAATTCAAATGGGAAAAAAAATACTAAATCAACTAGAAGAAATCTCAAACACTAAATTTTAGGTTTTATTTGAAAACCTTCTTAATCTCTTATTGTTATAGAATTTCAATCTAATCCAATAATTACAACTATATGCTGTTAAATGGATGAATTAAATTTAGATTAAAAAAATGTTAAAACAACTATAAAAACATTTTTAGATTACTAATACTTACAGGAATATAAATTTAGGTTTATTTATTTATTTATTTATAAACGGTCTATGTTTTTTAAAGTCTTAAGAAGGATTTTCTTTTTAATTTTGCAAAAATGAACATATCAAACATTACAATAATAAATTTCTGAATACCATTTGTTTTTGCATGATAGACATTCAATAAAAAATGATCCCCACGTACTAAAAATAAATAAAAGCAATTGCATGATAGATCTATGAATGCAATATACATGAACCCATTAACATTGAAATATAGATAGACATTTGGAATACCATATTTAAATTCATAGAAAGTGATTCATATTTATTTATTAAAAAAGATTGGATATAGACATCATAAATAGTTATTTATGTCCCAGCCCAATCCTGTTGCATTAACCCATCTGGGATACAAGGCAAAGTGTTTTGCCAAACCTTGTCTCTATCTGTAGCAAATTAATTGATGTAATGAATACTTAACCAACCTTCTGATATTCTTTCAGGAACCTTTTGCTTTTACCAGAAGTAGAATTGGCAGACACCTTTTGTGATGGGTCACCACCATTTCTCAAGAAAAGAAAAGAATTCCCCTCAAGCAATGTCTTTCTGCTTGCTGTTAACCTCTACTGGCAAGCAAAGTATAGTCTATATCATAGCATCATTCATCAAAACCCCCCATTCCCATTCCTTTCATCACATCTTGCATCAACTTTGAATGGATCACAAAGGGCACCAAATCCATTCTCTTGACATTTGCAACAGGCTCTACAACCTCGTCACGAAAATTGTCTCGGCACAAGCCTTCAAGACTGTGAAACTAGGCCATCCAGTGCACCAAAACTCAGCCAAACCACAGAATGGGGCTATCCATGAGGGTGATCATGAGGCGTACCCCAGGACTACTGATCAAGGCGAAGAACCTGGATGTGAAGATGTAAAACAAGAAGATAGTTTGAAGAACTGGGACGCCTTTGCCTCATCTTGTTCTTCTAGCAATGACCGTGTGCAAGAGGAGGCACCATTGCCTTATTCACTTGAAGCTCAAGCACAACCAGCCAAGATCAAGAAAACGGTTAGCATAAATGACAGGGTAGAAGAGATAGATACAAGGAAGAAAATGAAAAGGAGGAAATCAACTGAAAAACTGCCTTCAATCGACCTAGAAGAAGATATTGTTCAACCTGTGAAATCAATTCTCAAGAAGGATTCTTTTGAAAATTGTGATTTAGCTGAAAAATCAATTTTTTTCATCCATTACGACAGTATTTGATGAATTTGTTAAGAGCATCTTCTTGTTGTTGATGTAACATGATCATACGTGTTATTTTACTGTATAAATAAATATCATAATACAAATTCGTTCAATTTCTTTTGAAATAAGTAGCATCAACCCGACAAATTCTATTTATTTTAATTAAAAAAAATCTAAGACATTTTGTTTATTTGTCAAAGATTTTGGATACACAATTGACTGGAGGAGTCATCTGGCCAAACTTACAATTGTCTGAACGTTTCTAGCTCATTTCATTTTAATTTAATCTGTCATCTGCAATTTAATGTGTTGACTTTAATTAACGAAATATTTGATAAATATAAAGGTTTCGATATATATGAATTACCTATCAAATAGTTTTATAATGTTAAAAAAAGTCCTTGAGTTAGTTTGGACATAAATTAAATTAAATTAAATCTATTTTTCAAATTATTTTAATATGACATGTTTAATACTAGATAGGAAAAAAATCTGATTTAAATTTGAAAAAAAAAACACCCTAAGAATATTCTAAATATTATAATTATAAAAAAATGTAAATAGTATGGAAAATTCACTCAACTAAATATATTATAGATCCCCTTACATAATTCAATATTCATAGTTTTTTTTTATATATAATTTTTTTAATTTAGCTTTTATTAAACCAAATTATACATCAATTTAGACTAATTTATAAGGTGCCGATGAGATTGAAAGATAGAATCAAAGTGACAAATAAAAAGAAAATTGAAAAAATAAAAATCATGAAATATATTTAAATTAAATTTTAAATTTAATTTGAGCTCAAATTCAATAAATTTAGTTTTTTTATTTTAAATTTTTTTTGTTCAGGAAACCACACTTGTTAAAATTTTAATATGGATAGATGCACTTTTAACTCATAATCAAAGCCTTATTTAGGAAAAACTTAACGCAGTTGTTAAATAGAGAGTAAAAAAATAAAAAAAAGTATTACTTTTGCCTTTTTTTTACTTGTTTTCCGTGTTTAAAAAGAAAAGGCCAAATAAAATTATTCTATAAATATTATTTTTACGAGCAAAATTAATAAAGTGGAACTAACAAAAAAAAAAACTAATTAAATATAATAATGTAGAAAAAATAATATCAAATTATTAAAAAATAAAATATTTATTTATTCCTCTCTTATAAAATTAGGTTTTCAAATATTTTTTTATTAAAATAAAAAACTATATTTAAACTATTTAAAATATCATTTTATCAATTTACTTTAAAATAGTATTTCTCAGAAGATGCTCCAACAAGCACACAGGCATCAGCAATGACGTTTTCCCTTCGGGTTTGTCTATCTTTTTAATAATCAAGGTTGAATACTAGAATAAAGAAACGAAACCTTACCAGATTTAAAGGAATAAAATAAGTGAAAAATATAATAAACTTAGTTATAACAAAAAAAACCAGAGGGAAGAAAAGAAAAACAAGTACAAGATGGAAAACAACAACCATCTAATCAAACATTGGCAGCATGACATAAAGGGACAAGAATCCACCAAAGTAATCAAAATGTAATAAAACAAAGTGTCCTTATCAAAGCCATATTTCTACATTGCCAACCAAGAAAGCCAAAATGGGTGTTGCTTATTCATCCCTTCCTTCCCCTTTTCCCTGCACCGCTACCATACACATCACTGGTTCTTCCCTTTTCCCTTACGCATCAAAAGCAAACCCAGAAAGAGTAATAAATTCTATTTTTAATCATACCAATAACATCTGCTTGGCTAATCTCCAAAAACCCACTAAAAAGTTTGGATCTTTTAGTCGTTTTTCACACCATTCTACTTGTTTAGGCTCAAAGATCGTACCTTCGAAGTGCTGTGCCAAAGTGAGGGAAATGGAGACTCAAGAGAGAATTCTTCAAAAACCCTTGATTGATTTTCATGGTATTGATGAAGAATTGGTTCAAAAGATGGTTTATGATGCTCTTGTTTGGAGTTCTCTTCATGGCCTTGTTGTTGGTGACAAAAGTGTTCAGGTCTGTGGATATAGTTTTATATGCATTTTTTAATGTATCTCTCTCAATGAAATTTTACATAATTCGCAGAGTCTTTGTTATGAATGATCGAGCTCCTTGGAATATATGTTGATTCATTATGCAGTGAGAGTGTCTAATTAAGTGATTGCCTGATTAGTTGATAATCATTCACTTGTTCTTTCTAAGTTCTTAAAGCTACTATGCACTCTCCATTAGTGTTCATAACAATTGTGAAAGCCAAATTTTTTATTTTGTTTCAACTAAGTTCTGTTTAGTTTTGGCATCAAGCTGATATCATAGTGGCATGTGTAACTTAAGATAGGAATAATGGAGTTATTTGAATTGTAGAGATCAGGAAAAGTACCTGGTGTGGGCTTGGTACATGCACCATTTGCCTTGTTGCCTATGGCATTCCCGGAAAGCCAATGGAATCTAGCATGTGAAGTAGCACCTATATTCAATGAGCTCATTGATCGTGTGAGTTTGGATGGGAAATTTCTACAGGATGCTTTATCCAGGTACATTTTATTACACACGCCTACTTGTTTAGTATCTTTTGTTTTCAAAAGTGAGAAGCATTGGTTCCACTAGGCTATTATTTCTAAGATCATGGGCTGATACATGTTTGTTCAGTCATTAGCAAACTTGGTCATTGGTTATTTTTGTCAGCTTATAGCTGGAATATTTGGTGTTTTTGGTCTGCAACATGCTAACTTTACCACATTTGAACCTTCAAAATGATTCTCAGAATATTCTGTT